CCGTCTCGTGCAATCCGCTGAATTAAGTCAGAGTGGATGATAGGAGTTGGGCAACATTGACATATTCTGTTCTCAATGTCAAGACAATTCAATGCCGTTCGCGAATCCTTTTCCCAGTGCTTTATAACATTTTCGACCAATCGCCTCTCAGTGCGTTTGTCTTCCTCGCGAATCGAGTAGTCATACACGTCAACTGACTTCTCACGGCTCTTCTCCATAAAAGCCCAAAATGTATCCCAAGATATTTCTGGATGACTGATGGAGCGAGTAGCAGTTGACTGAAAAAGAAGTGGACGGGAAAATTGCAGTTCAAGATGCCTTGTTAAGCTTTCACTCCTGTCGAAAGTGATAACATCTTCCGCCACTAATGATGGATCGTGATAGAGAGCAATGATCAAGTCGAGACCACCCCGTTGAAACTGGGCTCTAAGATTTTCTGTGTTTTGAGATCGGGTATTAGCCCATCTTGCAGTTTGATCGAGTTTCTGAATAAACGAACGCAAAGATTCGGCGCCTGGGTTGTTGGGTGTGTTGAAATTAAGATCGTAAGTCCCCCAACCAGGAACTAATATTTTTTCAAGTTGGTGTGTCTTCTGCCGCTTTCGGTTGCTTGAAGCTGCCCAGCGTCCGGTATTAGTATCGTCAAATGCGGGGGAGTTTGACATGGCTAATAAACTGTGAGGACTTCGTGGAATATTCGTCAAAGGTTGTCAAAATTTGGGCTTGATGAGTTGTGGTTGACAGGAATACGACAGCTGACCAGTGTTGTCCAGTGAGCACAGACCATGCCCACTGGGCGCAGAAAAAGCCCATTGGGCACAGTATACTACCTGGAATTGGGGCTAAAATCAGACAGACGACGAATTTGTGACAGACCGAGGACCGTGCCCATTGGGCGCACATTATACCAACTGGGCGCGCACTATGCCAAGCGGGTACAAACGGACCATCTCGGAAATGAAAACGCCATCCCCGTCACCTTCGGCCGCCACGTAGATAATCCCGCCTCACGATCCGGGCCGCAAGGAGTTCGACGAGCTCAGACCCTTCCTTTTTCTTTCCCTTTTCTGATTTGGCTATTGTCTCTAACATTACGGATAGGTCTATCCTCCTCGTTTCGACCCTTCCTGTATTTTCTCTTCCCGGTTCAATTTCTGCGTACATGTCTTTGGCATTCGTCCTCCTCGAGCCACTCGACAGTTCAGATGACCGTCTGTACTCAAGCACACAGTGATTGTGAGGTAAAGATATCCAACTGCGTCACAGCACGGCTACCGAATTTGTGGAACATTCGAAAGGTTGTCTTTGCTGGTATTCTTCCAGTTGGGGCCTTTTGTCGTTTCAAACCCCTCCTATCTCCAGCACGTATCTAGCTATGGCTACTTTTATGGTGGTGTAAGTTAGAAGTCCAAGATTTAATGCACACATATACCTTGAAGAAGTTTCAAACGGCATTCAACCTGGACTTGGAGGTCAACTCGAGTGTCAAGCTACCCATTCAGTACTCAGACCGTCTCAACCATATGGGATTGGATGTCGGTAGGCTGCATCTCTTCTCTTCGTTTTTCCCTCTTTTATTAAAACATGCCATTTCTAACTGTGCTCTATAAATAGATACAACAACATCTCATGAAAGGGTATAAGAATATCCGTTCGCGCATCCGACCCATCGAGGCGATCTTTCCCTTATTGCAGAAGCTTCCAAACAACCCTGAGCCACCGTATCCCATGTTTTCATGTCGCCTTCCTGAAGCCCGTCAGTATTTATAAACCACACTTACTCCTGTGAAGGTTTCAATATCCGGCGATTAATGGAGGAGGACTTTAGGAACTCGTCACAGTCAGTTAGTTGGCTTTTGAATATATCCGTGTCTTGCTCGGTTCTTCCCTTTATATTCACCTTCTAGAGGCAACCCTGGCCAAAACAGCTGGCCTCGGAAGCGCTCATACGAGGAATAGATCCATTGACTGGCG